ATCCTAACATTTTAACGTGTGAGCAAGATTAAATTCTTGCTCAGACCAAAGAGTACAAGGTATAAATCAATGCCTGGGGCTCCTTCCTGTTAGCTGGGGCAATTTTTAGTGGCCCAAGACTGACACATGAGCTGTATGCAGACTTCAAAGTGAGCACTGTATAAAGCTCTTTAAATTCTCATTGACTGCAAAGCGGTTTGAGCAGGGTTAAATCCCTGCTCACACCAGGACACCTAGGTATCAATCGAAATCTGTTGTTCCTCCCTGTCAGCTAGGCCATTTTTAGTGGCCTCAGACTGGCAGATGCTCTGCATGCAGCACTCAGAGTTGCTATAGTTATTTAAATAGGCATTTAAATACCTATTTCTGCAATGCTGTCATCAGGGATTTAAATCTCTACTCACACCAGGTAGTCACAAATATCAATCAGTACCTGTGGCTCCCCTCTGTGAGCTGGGGCACATTTAAAGCTGTATGCAGCGCTGAAAGTGGTGCTTCTTGTGGCAGATGGCCAAAAGAGACTCCCAGGATCTGGACAAATTGTGACAGGGTCCCCCAGAACATCCCCGTGCCAACTGGGCGGAGCCCAGCACGAATCACAGTGTAATTGAAATGCCTGTAGATGACAGCAACATACCACTCTCTAATGTATTAACTAGGAAACTCATCTGCTGATATCAGTACTAATATTAGTAGAGGGTTTCCTTAGGGTTTTGGTTAGGGAAATGGTAGGGTTAATGTTAAGGTAGACGTAATTCTGCAATAAATCCCTTCTCACACAGCGGAGTCCCGAGTATCAACCGTTCATTTCTAGTGTAACCAGACTGATAGATGAGCTGTTTAAACGGGCATTTACACTGACCAACCACAACATCAAAACCGCTGACAAGTGAAGTGAATAACATTGATTATATCATGACAATGGCACCTGCCAAGTGGTGGGATACATTAAGCAGTAAGTCAACAGTCAGTACTTTCATTTCATGTTAGAAGCAGGAAAAATGTGCAAGTGAAAAGATCTGAGTGACTTTGACGAGGACCAAATAATGAAAACTAAACGGCTGGGTCAGAGCATATCCAAAATGACAAGTCTTGTTGGGTGTTCCCAGTATGCAGTGTTTAGTACCTACCAAAGATTGGTGCAAGAAAGGACAACCGGTGATCCGGCGTCAGGGATATGGGCATCCACGGCTCATTAATGCAAGTGGGGAGCAAAGGCTAGCTCGTCTGGTCCCAGCACACAGAAGATCTAATGTAGCTGAAATACTTAATTCTGGCCATGGTAGAAAGTTGTCAGAACAAACAGTGCATCACAGTTTGCTACGTATAGGGCTGTGTAGCCGCACATGTATATGAGATCATTGCCTAATATGCTCAGCCACAACAAGTGAGGTTAATGTCTATACTTATCTCTAGTTACTTCGTAGACCTTTAGTCATTCTGTTCAGAGGCCGATCCAGACCCTAATCTCAGGAGGAGCACTGGGAAAAAACAAAACAAACAAACCATGCACACGCTCTCTAATGCACACTTTCAGAGTTACTCCAAATTGTAGAAAATTGAAATGTGAATTTCAGATTTAAAACAAACTGCTGATTTGAAAAAATACTTCAACAGCGCTATAGTTGCAGCTTCGATATTTTAGCAATTCTGTTTTCAATTTGCTACACTACAGAGTTTAGTGAAGACACTGTGTGCATGCTCATTGCTGTGGGACTCATTAATGTAATACTCACAATACGTAACAGAGCTCCATCGCAACAGAATTCTCATATTATGTCATTATTTATAGAAACGCTATTACTCCCTACTAGTGAACTTCTCCTCTGTGTTCCTTTCTCCAGAGGTGTCCTCCTCTTCAGATTCTATTCCCTATCTTCTGTCTTTCTACACATATTATCCCATCACCTTCTGTCCCTCTCCTTATATTCTCCTCCACCTACTGTCCCTTTTCTCATACACTCTCACTCACATTCAACCTACTCTTATATATTCTTTATTCTCTTCTATATTCACCCCCCACACCTTCACCTTTCTCTATATTCTCCCCCTCACATTCTGCCTCCCGCCTCTCATTATCCCCCACTTTCTGTCTATCTCATCAAATTCACCCACTCACTTATAACTTTATTAAATACCCCCCCCCCCTTATTTTTTCCATACATTCTTTTCCTTTCCCCAGTAGTACAGTCAGTGACGGAGCTAAAGTAGAGAGGGCACTGGTGCAAGAATGTATTTGCCCTGCCCCATCCCATGGCGGCCATAAGGTATATGCCCCTATGTCATACAACTCTCACAATGCTTTGCCAGCTTGGGATCTACGGTTTGCACATCCTTGCAGTGTTCTATTTAGCACTATGCAGTGTTTGTGTTTGAATGTAAGCATGTTTTTTTTATAGAGTATGTTTGTGTGAATGCTGGGGTATAATTGTGTGTAGTGTCGTGTGTTTGTATGTACGGCTGCCATTTGGAAGCAGTGGGTTACTTGTGTGCAGTGTTTGCCTTTGAATGTAGGGGTGTGTCCAGTGCTGTCTTAACAGCATTATAGGCCGCCGGGCAAAGCAGTATATTTATTTGTGCTTATTACAAATGCAATACATACACACAGACTGCAGAATAAATTCACAGACTTCTGAGTACACATACAGACTGCTGAATACACACAGAATGCTGTAAACACAGACAGACAGACCTGAATACATACAGAGACTGCTGAATACACACACAAACAGGATAAAGGCAAACAGCAGTGCAGTAGCCCGGATGCAAAGCAAGGGCTTGTGGGTTGCACCCCTGCTACCACCTAAAGCTCCTTGGATGAGGGAGGGCATAACCCTCTAATAGCGTTAAAGTAGGAAATGTAGTGTCCCACTTAGGGAGACTAGAGGCAGGGGCCCCACTAGCATAAAAAAAAATAGAGGGAAAAGGGAAATAAACCCTACCTTTTTATCAATCTAGGGATATGCATAAAAGGCAAGCCAAAGAAAAAAGGAGGGGATTAGCTAAACGGTGCAGCAGGGATATGTGCTCTAGAGTGCACTAGGTCACAGGGAATGGGGGGAACCAGAGGAAAACGATTTAGCTCTTGAATATAGTATAAAAATACCATGTCATACAATAAATTACAATTTAAGGACATCCAGTGGAGTTTTGGACTGAGAGAAGATATCCAAACGAAAGGTAGGGATCTTGAGGAACAATCCCTCAAGATTGTTGAATCCATATTAGAGAGAGATTTACAGAAAGGCAGAAAAAGAAAAAACCCTCAATCAAGCCTTGTGGTGAAAGTGTGTTAAGTCTATAAATCCAATATGTTTCTCTTTGTCACAATCTGCAGTCCGAACTCCCTTTTCCTTGGGGTTGGGGGGCTGATTCTGCCCAGGAATATGATTTTGTTCGCAGAGATAGCATGGTGTGTTTTTAGGTGACATGAGATCGATGTCTTTAATTGTCTTCTTACCGAGTTGACATGTTCCCTTATACGCAGTTTGAAAGAGCGCAAAGTTTTTCCCATGTACTTCATATCGCATGAGCACAACAGAAGGTAAACTAGCCCTTCAGTACGTCAACTGAAGAAGGATTTTGCCAGGAACTTCTCGGAATCACAGTGTGACAGATCCACCTGTCTTTAAAATACTTTTATTCCCCTTGGTTCGTCTGTTTGTTCGGTTAATTACCTGTCCATACATCCCGTTCGTTTATTTTCCTAACTATCGAAAGGCCGGCCACCCAGCATGGACGTGTGCTGCTGGTTAACCTCTTGGCCTCATTAGAACGTTGTGGTTAACCGCAGACACCTCCTAATTATCAACGGTATGCTGGGTGGTCGTCGTTCGTATGCCGACCATCTTGGACGCACGAATGATCAGCGGTGTTAGTCAATGAGTTCCTGGAACTGAAAAAGGACACTATTTCTCCTGAACACTGCTGAAACCGCCGACCTCCCTTCTCTGCCTTCCAGCATACAAACGCCAGTCCGTTCAGTACTTTACTGCACAAAATGACTTAACCCAGATAGCCATCCCATGGAGCCCATTCGTATCCTGATAGACAATGTGAAATACTTTGGCTCCATGGTGATTGAACTGTGTGTATAGGATCTGAGCACCATTCGGTAATAATGTGCGCTCAGATCTAAGCTATCTGGGGATACTTTAAATGTGGTTATTCTATTTGTGTAATGTAGAGTTATGTATTTTTCTTATGAACAAAATGGAGTTTAGCCTCTATCCGTGGAGATAATCGAAATCCTTCCCAATTATCTCCAGGATAGAGAGGAGGGTTATTCTCAGCTAAAGGGGAGTGTTTATGCTTGTGCCACTGTGATTGGCTACTGTATCCATATTGTCCCAGTCTTTAATATGAGGGTCAGATGTAAGTATCAGCCAAAACCTTTCAAGCGTGTCCATCATACTATGCCAACCTGCATCGTATCAGGGGTGGTCCTGCACCAGCACTGTAGTCTGTAAGGAGGAATCCCTGTTGGCTCAGATTGCTCTGGAATAGGCTTTACAGAGTACTCAATTGGGATATTTTCAAAAGGATTTTCTAAGGTCCCAAGCTTTAGTTTTGAAATCCTCAAGTGAAGAGCAATTCCTGCGCCATTTTAGGTATTGGCCTTTAATCTTGGTGGATGGTGGCTGGTCCAGTTCAGGAGGCCATTAGATTCTGTTTTCAACTGATACAGAGTAGTGGAAATGTTGCCATCAGTTTGTATAGAGATTGTTAGATCCAAGAAATTAAGGCTCCCACCCCCCACTTCACTTGTGAATCTCAAGTCTCGAAGTATGACAACTTGTGTAAAGTCACCTGAGGACCCAAGCCAGATTAAGCAATCATAGCTGCCAAACGCAAGATTACCACATTTCCTTGAATTCTGACCCACGGCAACAAGGAAAACCACATTTAAGATACAAAAAAAAAAAAACACAACCCACCCAACTAGAGAGGGATTTGACCTCATGTTACCTAGACGTAGGAGATATCTAGATATCAAGGTAGATATCTACCTTGCTTCCTTTAAAATAAAAATATATAAATAGATATCTCGATATATATTTTTTTATCTAGATATCTATTTATATACTTTTATTTTAAAGGAAGCAAGGTACAACTGCAAGGGGTAAACAAAGGACATTAGTATGAACAAAACTATACCAATGAATTAATAAAGTTTGAGGTCATAATAAATAAATACCACAATTTTAAAAATCTTTATTGATTAGTTATTTTGCAGCCTGGTTAGATTTCTGGTTTAATGGAGTATATGGACTCAGCAGTGAGAGGTTGGAGTAAAATTACCAAATGTTGCCAGACAAAGCTTACATAGCAAGCTGATTGAACTTCCTTTTTGTGTGAAGGGTTGTAGGACATTCCGTTTCCATATTGCCATAGCTTAAAACAATGCATAAGGGCTAGGCTTGTTATAAGACAAACAGCAATTAATAAACAATCACCAAAGGCTAAAATGAATGATATCACAGTGTTTTTTTATTATGTTTAAGAGACTAAAGATGTACTGAAAACTAAAGAGGTAGGAATTACATATAGTTTGCTTTCTGACAAATTACAAATGAAGAACTCTGTCTTACATAATTATATAAATGGAAATTAAAAAAAAAAAATTAAACTAAACAAAAAACACAAAAATACGTATGAATGTATACATTGTTCAGGATTATATCGATCCAATTTTCCCATGGAAAAAAGTTTTGATCTAGTTACATGTACAAAAATAGTTTTCCCCTTATGAAAAAAATATTTAGTCTAAATTTATTAAGTGTACAGAATTACAGAAAGACTGATCAATAAAGAATGCAATCAGAAGGAGGAAGAAAAATAAAAAGTGTGAAGTGTTACAAATGTTCAAAGCAAGATTTGTAATATATTTGTAATATAGTTCTTAAACTTTTAGTTCTTCATCTTAGATTTTCATTTTTTTAAGTTAAAAGATAGAAAAACCTGTGTGATTAAAAAGTCTAAAATAAAATCAAATATTTAAACATTGGGTGATCACGAATGTGGAGTGCAATCTTGTGTGTATGTACAATTTGTGCTTTTCTTTTAAACATAAATAGTAGATAAATAGTGGCATTTTTATAAAGAAAGGACGCAGCCATGAGTATCAGAAAACATAATGCAAGTAAAGAAATTTTAAAAAATCCCAACAATATTACCACACTGTCTTCCACATCAGGTTACACCAATGGAAAGAAAAGGATAGAAATATATATATTTATTTTCTTTTCCATCTATCTCAATCAACTTTATGTGCACTCACCACTATATTTTAGAAGGTAAAACCTGTTTGCAGATATTGAAGGGACTGTTTAGCCAGCATAAGGCACCAAAAAAAAAATTAAAAAAATAGAAAACCAAAACGAGCAGACCTTTAAAATGTAAATACCCTTTTGCCGATTACAAATAATTGGAAAGCTGTTCTGATTGGCATTACAGCATCTGCTCGGATAATTCGCAGACAGACAGAGTTAACATTCGGGTAAAAGGATACTAGTGTACAGCAAAATCCTATCTTAAAGTAACGTACATTACAGTTGTGGTATTAGAAACATAAAACAAAGGCTGGATCTCACAGTGGTAGTCTACCGCAGACAATAATCCTTCAAGTTAAATATAAGCATAATGAGTGCTGAACGTCACAACTGCATGGTGTGGATGCAAAGGGTTCATCTCAAATAAACCCATTTTCTTTATTCGTGTCCATGTTAAAAAGCAGTTAAAACTTAATAAGTTAATAGTCCTAGAATCCAAACTGGCTAAAGTATCATCTTCACTACACCTTGAGGTGAATGCATCCCCTGTCCAGATATATTTGGGGACAATGGCCCAAACTCCAGTCGTTTATTTAATCTAGGAAAATAAAAAAAAACAAAAACAAATTAACAGTTAGAAAGTTGGAGGCAAAAAAGGATTTACAAATCATATTGCAAATCATTGATTTTATAAGCTATGCGACCTTATGCAGTACAGTTTTGACAGAATTTTCTCCCTCTCTCTCATTCCTATATTTTCCTCCCTCAAGCCCACCTAATCCTCTCCACAACATTCAGTGGCACCAGGACAGGTGATACTTACGTTTTCTTCCATTGTGCTGGTCCTGCTGGGTCTTCGTCCTCTGTGCGCCATCTTGGAAATTCCAAGATGGCGGCCGCTGGAAACTGTTTTTTCTGCCTTTCCAACACACTGAGTGTCTGAACAGATAGTCGATGACACAGTGCTACCTGAAGTGTCACGACGCTGAAAGTAGGCGAGTAAGAACATGACGACCAATGACAAATGTTGACAAAGCATGTAGCACTAGACCAACGATCCACACTTTGTCAACCTGCAGGTTATACACAACGAAAAGTAGTCCCTACTTTCCATCATGTATAACTTCAAAAATAGTAAAAAAATAAATAAAATAAAAATAATAAATAGTGACAGATTCACATAAAGCCAAAGCAGCACAAACATCTTGCCCAGGGAATGGTAGTGCACATTGAAGATACACTTGTAGAGATAATTTAACGGTTACCTTGTCATGCCACAAACAATTTATTCTCATTAGATTGAGCATAAGATTTTTTATCTATATATTGAGCTAGCAGTTTAGCTAGCAAATGTATAGATTAGGAGAAAAACCTATTTAAAAATATATATTTTTTTCACCCAGCTGTCAGTCAAAGCCAAAGCAAAGGAGGTCCCTCTGCTCTCCACACATTGCAACAAGAGCGCATTCACTGTTATTATCCAAAACATCATAACATATAACGGTGTTCCTTTAACCCCTTAAGACCGCAACCAAATGTACAAGTTGTGATCCAAAAAAATAAAATAAAATGTAAACAAACCACAGAATTTGCGCTATATGTCTGTTCAACAATAATTTACCTCTTTCATATTAAATGCACCCAATATATATATCTATCATTTTATTCAGAGGAAACCGGGCTTTCATTTATCATCAAATATTTAGGTATGGAACATAATTTAATATGAATAAAATATATATATTATATATATATATATATATATATATATATATATATATATAAAAAAGAGAAAATAAGATTTTTTAAATTTTCTTAGTTCTACGTGACATTTTAACTTTAAGTGTCATAATACAGTTTGCTTTTACTGCAATAAAATACACATTTGTATTCAGCGATGCCTCACGTGTAAAACAGTACCCCCTATGTACAGGTTTTATGGTGTTTTGGAAAGTTACAGGGTCAAATATAGCATGTTACACTTTTCAGTTTTTTCACATTGAAATTCGCCAGATTGGTTATGTTGCCTTTGAGAGCGTATGGTAGCCCAGGAATGAGAATTACCCCCATGATGGCATACCATTTGCAATAGAAGACAACCCAAGGTATTGCAGTCTTTTTTTAGTAGCCACTTGGTCACAAACACTAGCCAAAGTTAACGTTAATATTTGTTTGTTTGTGTGTGAAAAATGCAACAAACTCATTTGAACACCAATTTTGGCCAGTGTTTGTGACTACTAAGAAAGACTGAACATACCCCATTTGCAATACCTTGGCTTGTCTACTTTTACAAATTGTATGCCATCATGGGGGTAATTCTTATTCCTGGGCTACCATACGGTCTCAAAGGCAACATAACCAATCTGGCGAATTTCAATGTGAAAAAAACTGAAACGCAAGCCTTATATGTAACTTTTGAAAAAACACCATAAAACCTGTACATGAGGGGTACTGTTATACTCAGGAGACTTTGCTGAACACAAATATCTGTGTTTCAAAAGTGCCGTTTATGTGTGAAAAATGCAAAAAAAAAGTCACTCACTGACGATATCGTCGTTGTAATACATTTTACGGTTTTGAAACACAAATATTTGTGTTCAATACATGGTAAATACCGATCGCAGTGACAGCTTGTCACTGCGATCGGAAGCTGCAGATCACGGTCCCCAGGCACAGGGGGGCTGCCTGGGGGGCCAGGCTCCGCGATCTGCAGCGGCCATGTGCCGCCGGCCACGTGGGAGGCAAGACCGCCCAGGACGTTCTATGCCACCCTGCAGCGTTTAGAGCCGCCCAAATAGGGACGGCATAGAACGCCCTGCGGTCTTAATTAAAGGGAATAAGTAGACCCAATATTAAAAAAGGCAAAGTTTTAAAAATATCAGGAAGTATTACGTTACTGAGAGGGAAGTGGGTGCATGGAATAGCCTTCCAGCTGAAGTGGTAAAGGTTAACACAGTGAAGGAGTTTAAGCATGCGTGTGATAGGAATAAGGCTATCCTAGTGATACGGGTATAAAGTTACCCGGAGAGATGTTCAGGTGGAAACCAAATTGTAGTTTTATTTCTCGAGCAGCTCAGAGCAAAGTAATCAGGTCAGACCAGACCGTTTTTGATTAAAAGATTACTTCCCCTTTTTTGTGTAAGGTTACAGATTATATAGTAATTTGTAAAAAAACAGCTTTGCGACTTGCGCGTCAAAAAACGTATGTTTGAAGTCACACTGTACCATAAAAGGAATTTACAGAAATAAGCATTTTTCAATGGACAGAGATATTTGTGCGCGCGCACACACACACACAAATCCCCTGCACTTACGCTTTAAACGCTTCACTGCCGGGCACATAAACCAGAGCTCCAAATGACAATATCCAAAAAGGGATGGCTGCTCACCCCATTAAAAAAAAGCAAATTTATTTAATGGAGTTAAAAAGTAGTTACCAACGTTTCAGTCCCCGTTCTGGACTTTCAGAAAGTCCCGAACAGGGACTGAAACATTGGTCACTACTTTTTAACTCAATTAAATAAATTTGCTATTTATTTTATTTTTATTTTTTTTTAAAGACCAGTGAGCCGCCATCCCTTTTTGGATAAAAATTATTTGTCAGACACTGAAAACTAGACTAAAAGTTCAAAGCATAACATGAAAGTAAAAACAGACTGGACATCTGGTCATCTTAGTAGCTTGAGCGTGGGGTCCCGCCCGGCTCTGGAAAGGGGAAAAGGGGTTAAACTTACCTTTTTCCAGCGCTGGGCGGAGAGCTCTCCTCCTCCGAGTCGGCTGAATACGCACGCGCGGCAAGAGCTGCGCGCGCATTCAGCTGGTCACATAGGAAAGCATTCATAATGCTTTCCTATGGACGCTGGCGTGCTCTCACTGTGAAAATCATAGTGAGAAGCACGCAAGCGCCTCTAGTGGCTGTCAATGAGACAGCTACAAGAGGAAATAGGGGAAGGCTTAACCCATTGATAAACATAGCAGTTTCTCTGAAACTGCTATGTTTATGAAAAAAATGGGTTAACCCTAGCTGGACCAGGCACCCAGACCACTTCATTAAGCTGAAGTGGTCTGGGTGCCTAGAGTGGTCCTTTAATGCATCTCTATGAGGAGGTACTGATTGGCTAAAACTGTGTTTGGCCCCGCCTCCTTGCCCATTTCAGCCAATCCAATGTTTTCTCCATGGGAAAGCATTGGATTTGCTAAAAATCGTGAATTGTGATATCACCTGTGCGGCACCGGAAATTAAGCAAATTTGAACCCCTTCTAAGCGGGCTAATGGAGGGCATGCCATCCTTTATTTATATTTATTCCTGACCCCTGTTAACACTATAGGGTCACGAATACATGCTTGTGTTGCTCACCGTATAGTGGTTATTTAATTTTTTTTAAAATACCAGCCGATGTTAACATTGAGCCCCCGTTATGACATTACCATTAAATTCAGGTATGGAGCTGCTCAGTGGCATACCTTCTATTTGTGACAAAAATTTACTTCTGATGAATTAACAGAAATTTATAAAGGATTGTGTTGTATTTTAAGTTTATACACCAACTCAGTTTCCAATATTTCAATTACATTTAATACTAGGATTCAACAAAGAGAAATAAACCAAAAACCAAAAAACAACAACTTAATACTTAATAAGAGTTCTAAATAATATGAAAATAAAAATAAAAAAATAAAAAAAATTACAACTCTTAATCTTTGGGTTCAGCCAGTGACAGTTAAAGTTACACAGATTGTTGACTGAGAATCTTGGCTAATCCAGCAAGTCTGGATCATTGTGTTCCTGAAAAGATTTTTAATTTCATTTGTGATTAGATATGGAGTGTGGATAACTTACCCCTTCTCACTGGGTGACATATTCAGTCTGTTCTCATTGCACTCTCGAGCCTTGTTTACACGGGCTGACAAGGGAGCAATCGGTCTGTTGGGGGACTGTTCGTATACAAAATTTCTGCAAGATGCCAGTTTAGACTCCAAAGCCTATAAAGAAATATTGACAGTATAAACAACTCTTTTATTACATTAAAGAAACACTCCAGGCACCATAACCACTACAACGATTATTAGAATAGTAGCCTAAACACCAAAACCACTTCAGCTTAATGAAGTGGTTTTGGTGCATAGATCTAATTAAAGTTACACTCCAGATCCTTAAACCTTGCTGAAGTGCTTTAGAGGTTAACAAGAGGTTCCCTTTGCCCCAATTCATACAAAACGTGCCTATTGCAAGAGAAAACAGCACTTTTTGAATGGGTTTAGGGAATCTTAGGAAGTGATTTTTCCCTTTTAGAGGTGATGCATTTTACCCACAACCCATCAGCAAAATGAATCCCCTGAAAGAACATATGGTGAGATAGCGATATAGAGAGAGAGAGAGAGAGAGAGAGAGAGATATATAGATAGATATACATATACACACAGCTTGTGCCATTTATGAATTCTTACAGCTGCTTTGTAGGGTTGTATTAGTACATATATGGCTGTGTTATATTGCACTCGTCAGATAATGTGTGTGAGCTTTATGTCGTGTGTATGTGCGGCTTGTTGCGTTGCATATGGATTGTCTTGTCAGTGGTGTTTGTGTGGGTTCCTTGTTGGATTTCTGTATTTGTGTGTTGGAGATACTTCTTGCGCAGCTGTGTGTGATCAGAAATACTAATGGGATATACACGAATACACACTGCCATGCATCGATCTAATGCACACTGTCACAGCCCACAGTTACACATTGCGAGAATAGCGCGCGCACACACACACACACACACACACAATTCAAGCAATCACACATACTGTCAGAAACACACACTACTATGCCCACACATTGACAATGCTGTTATATCTAGGAACCCTCTTTGTTTTCATATTTAGCAGCAGGAGGGTGGCGTTCCTGAGGTCCAGTGGGGACCAGGTTGACCATGCACAGTGCAAAGTGCTTCAGCTCATTTCACCTTCTCAAATGCTGGAAGGAAGATCTTTCTCCCAATTCACTACCATGAGTGAATTCAGGTTGCTTTTTACGGTCCAATGAAGTCCCACTTCTCAAGAGATGATCTGTGGAACTCAACAGCCTTGTTCATGGCAAGGCTGCTGGACCCAGAAGGACATTGCAAACCATAGGTTACCTATTGCTGTGCTAAGATATCCCACCACTGTAGTGCTGAGTAACACATCCTGTAAGAGTAACATGCATAAACTAATGCTATACTGATAATACACCCCAAAATGTACTGGAGTCTTATACTTTTTCGGGTGACATGATTTCATGCATGTTGAATAAGTGCTCTGCACTTTATATCGTACAAATGGAACTTGAAACTGCAAAAATGACTGCTTGATACTAGACCAAAATCTCATATGAAAACTATGACTTAGGGCTACAGATCTTAAGAGCTTATATTTACAAATATTTAGCTGCAGGTCTGTCAATTTAAAAGCAGTGTAATATATCACATTCCATCCATCTTTAATTGCCCCTTAGGGCTTAAAGGGACACACTAAGCACCAGAACCTCTACATCTTAATCTAGTGGTTCTGGTGCCTGTGAAAAGGTAGTCTTTTACATTACTTTCTAGGGCCACCTCTAGTGGCTGTCATTTAGACAGCCGCAAAAAGCTGGTGCGGTCCTGCAATCTCTGCATGACTGACTTTTGGCCTCTTTGCACTCCAAGAAAGAAAAAAAATAAATAAATAAATAAATAATGCTCCCCATAGAGATGCACAGAGTCAAAGCTACATGTGCAACAATAGCTGTGCCAAAACAGCATTTTCTCACGCACTAACCCACCAATGCATTTTTAAAGGGACACTGTAGGCACCCAGACCAAATCAGCTTATTGAGGTGGTCTGGGTGCTGTGTCCCTTTTGCACCTAGTGCTGCAGTGTAAAACATTGCAGTTCCAGAGAACTGCAATGTTTACATTGCAGCACTAAGTCTGCCCTAAGTGGCTGTCTACCAGTCACTGGAGGCGTTTCCGGAAACGTAACCGACTTTTGGTCCATTATCGGACGCTGGACGTCCTCACGCTCTGCATGAGGACCTCCAGTGTCAGATTTTTTTCCTCATAGGAAAGCATTGATTTAATGCTTTACTATGGGGAGGTCTAATACACGTGCAGCATTTGCCGTGCATGCGCATTAGACCTGCTTTTCGTGGGACATCAGAGGGGGCCTAGCTTTGACCCAGTGCTGGCCGACATCAGCGCTGGGATAAGGAAAATAAAGAGTTTTTAACCCTATATTTACCCGGAAATGGGCACGAAGGAGGCAGAGGGATTGGTAGTGTCAGAAATACAGTTTTGTATTCCTGGCACTACAGTATCCCTCTAAGGTGAGGAGCGGTGACCATTGTGAGACCAGAGGACTAAAAGGTAAGTAAATTGCTTTACTGCAATGACTCGGGGGTAGGAACAACTCAATCTACACAGATAGGAAAACATTGACATTGGGAATACATGTTTGGGAGTGTTCCATGAAAATTTAGCACTGCTCCATACAGTCACCCGGAATCCATGTGAACAGAAAATAAATGTGTTTTGTATTTGTAAATATTTTATCATGACATTCTTTTTGGGTATTGACAGTAAACAATGGTTTTATGTACTTTAACCCCATAAGGACACATGACATGTCATGATTCCCTTTTATTCCAGAAGTTTGGTCCTTAAAGGGTTATACAAGTAGGAACTGGAGCATTTTTGTAGGAACTTGCTACTACAACATCTAGCTGGATAAAAGACCAGAATTTCACATGAAAACATCATAGGGACTCATTTCAAGAACCCTTGTGCTAGTGGGTAAAAGAAAATAGAATTCTGCAAATAAAACTGCAAAGTTGCTGAATGTTCTACATTCTACACACGCTCCATAGAAATATTATATTAAAAACAACCACAACAATGACAACTGTAACAGTTTCAGATGGAATTTTAATATGCAGAGTTGTGATTGCATTATGTACATTATACCTGCAGTCCTTACCCCAACTTTTTTAAGGAGGTCGCCTACTATATTCAATGCCGATATCCGGGCAGATGGTGTAAGGGGAGTACCACTGTAGCCATCATCAAAACCTACAGCAAAAAGAAAAGCAGAGAATAACAAAATGGATTTGCTGTACAGTGAGACATAAAAAAAGAAAAAGAAAATGAAAGCACACAAATGATATATGCGCTGTCCTGACAATCTCATTTGTTTGTATATTCCAAGAAATAGGTGACAAACGTATATTTAGTATGATAAAATAAACAGGATCTTTTAATCATTTGTTAATACTTGTAATTCTAACCATATACCTGCCCTAACCTTACACTATCCCAAACTACAAAACAGCATTAACCCTAACTCAGTATTAACTCTTAACTTACCCCAACACTAAACCTTAACCCTTCCATAACACTATGGTAACCCGAACCCTAAGGAAACCATCAGCTAATATCAGTACGGATATCAGAGGATAGGTTTCCTAGTGAAAACAATAGAGTGGAATGTTGCCACCATTTGCGGATTGTTATCAGCATTACACTCTGATGCAATAACAAACAGGAGTATAACGAATGTGTGTTCAATATATAGATATACTAGGTTTATGTTATAATTGAGCAATTAATTTTTTTGCTTAAAGTAAAAAAAAAATCAAATCTATTAAAAAAAAATAAAAAAATAAAAAAAATCAGGAAGGTGCATAAATTCCTTTATGCATTCATCCAATAAGGGACAAAGATTTGTTTCCTTTCAATTTCGTTTTCATTTATCCTTGCGGCAGTCAACACCAATCAGCACCAATAAACCTTCATCCATCAAATCTACAATCATTAACAAAATTCTCCCTGTGCAATGTAAAGCCAATGACAAAACCACCACAAGAATGAATGAAAAAGAGAATTGATAACCATTTTTCCTCCTGGCGTCATTTGCAGCAAACAGAAACAGGATATAATATAATAAACAGGAGTAAAGCAAAGGGAGGGACTATTTTTTGACAACTGTTTGAGGAGCTTACCAACACAAAGATGCCTCTTTAGAAGATAGGGTGTCAAGCTAGTAAGATTGTGCCAATCCAAGAAGCCCCCCTTTTTTTATAATTTACACAGTAAAATTTCCAGTGAAAAACAATGAGTCTTACTTGTTCTATACAGCATTGGTGAACTCAGTCCAGAGATGCTTCCTCTGTGACCCACTGGTGTTGATGGTACAGACATAGAGGCTTGGACTGCGGTGTCAATTCTACCAGCATCAGGGCTGTCACCTATAATGGGTTTGGGCTTCTCCTTCTGTTGTACAGCCAGCTCCTGCCTTAAATCTAAAAAAAAATAAAAAAATAAAATGTATGGATAGCGATTTGTCAGGTCTGAACATAACATTGCACATGCACCAAAGAGCTACTGCTTTCAAACTTATGTTTTATTTTTAAAAATAAATTGTAATACAAAGATCCACTTAGTAATAAATACTGCTACTCATTTACCAGGTGGTGTGTTCAGTTGCAGGCCATAATTAGTACAGCCAGTGGCTAAGCATGGTTCTCTGGGGTCCGTACAAATTGCTATGTGCAAACCTGTTCATTAGCAGTAATATACAGCGAACAAGAGGTCACCCATTGAGATTGGAAGAAAGGCGTGTTTGCTTACAGCAAAGGAGAGAGTTATTTACAATAATAACAATAAAGATGTGGAATTCTCTTCCTAAAATATTTTTAAATAATGTCTGATTATTTTTTTTTTGCATAAACAGAACATTTAATGATATAATTAACATGTATGTAAACAGGTTGTTGATCCAATGAGAAATCCGACTGCAATTATGGAGTCAAGAAGGATTTTTAAAAATCTTTTTTGTGGCATAACTGGGAATGGCTACAATTGTTTTTGTTTTGCCTTCTTTTGGATCAACAACATGGGCTTCACGGTTGAACTTGATAGACTTCAGGTTATTTATTTATTTTTTTTTATTTTTTTTAAATTTAGACTGCTTTGTAACATGCCTCTAACACTGATTCACAACCAAGTCTTCAAGGCTACCACCGGTCCAGATTTGTCAGTAGAAGGGACCTGAACTGGATAATGCCAGACTATTAGTGTCCCTTGAGAAGTGAGCTGGGAATGACTGCTCTAACAGACAGTGTGTCAATATGATTGGTTGATGTAAATAGGTTATCCAACCTGTAAACAAACCTTCAGGGGTTATTGTTTTTCACCAAACTAAATTGTTGAGAATATAAAAGCCAAAAAGTTAAAGAAATTAGCAAATTATGCTTATTCTGAAAAATTCTCCAACTCCGTTATATTTATATTTGAGCCTCAATCTTGCCATTCAGATTTCAGTTCACTACAATGACAATAAATCCCTTTAATGACATCTGTTATAATGGACCATTTGCACAGAAAAGTTAGTCTTTTAACAAATAATATTACAAATGTATCCAGCCTGTCTGATGAAATTCATGAGTTTTGTATGTCATGTGCAAGACAATTGTGTTTCCTACTGACATTTTGTCTAACGTAATTTCCTCTGTATTTATTGTACTGAAACATAAAAGAAAAAAAAAAAAAGAAAAAAGGTGCAGCTGACCGTGGAAGGCAGCAATGCTTAATGTGCTGGTTAAATATGAAATAGGATTTAAAGGTTACTAGCAAAATAACACATCCTCTTCCAGGAAACTGGTAATTAGTCTTTGCAGTAATGCACAGGACAATTAGAGCAAAGTTTACCGAATATGCTTGCATGCACTGTAAATTACCACATACATCGACTGCAACAATCAAAGTAAAAGGTAGAGGAGGTAGTGGAACTGCTAACTAAGCCAATCACAGCCGTACCTCGGCTGCTATTTACCTATTCACACACAGCCTGCTTCAGATTTGTGTGCAGCAGAGGAGCTCAGTGAGACTGCTCCCATGACATTTTTACTTTATCCAGGAGGAAGGCTTATAGCTGCAGTGATTAGGCGGTTGTTAGACACTCTGCACCCCATAACTTTGCATCACTGCATAGAGTGACCTCTTAACTACATTCAAATTTATGTGTTTACTTACTTAAAGGTCATTTTTGACAAAGTGAAATTGCACTTTGCCCAGCCATAGTAAGTTATTTTTAAGCATGTATAGACCATTTTCACACGAACTTAATGAAGCACGTGTCAATGACTATTCACAGAGTCTTTGACGAAAAGATTTGTGCCACAAACCATGTAAAGCACTTATGCAATAAGGAGGTCCAAAGTACAACAAATCCAACTTAAGTAGTCAAAATTATTTTTAAAACAGTTTGACTTACCTAGCGTACGCCAGACACCACACTGTCTCCATCATGAATGTCGGAGAGTCAAGAGATCCTAAGCAGGAACTTCAGTTAGCTCTGTTGAGCTAAGCCCTGCAACACATGGCACTGCAAAGCTTAACTCAGGAGAGCTAAATAAAGTTAATGTCTGTAGCAGAGGTGAGGAGCTGCGTCCGATAAACCCCCAGTAAAAGTCAAACCATTCAAAAACGGGTTGACCATTTACACTAGGAGGGAAGAGGGGTGCCAAGGCCCCAGAATTACTATAGCAAGCTAAAGTGGTAATTGGAATGTTCTTTTAACCCTGTGATATTTCTGAGAACAGGAAGGAAAAAGTAGAAATGAAGTGGGCAGATTATGTAATGTCTCACCCCGAGCTTCATCCTTCAGCCTCTGCACAGATTCCAAAAGATTTTCCTTTTCATCAAGCTCGCTTTCAAGGAATGCATTCCTCTCAATAGCCTGATTCATCCGCTGCTCAAAATCCTCCAATGACATTATTGTGGCTCTAGTGAAAGCAGAGGCATAGAATTAAAAACAATAATTTTACTCTCAGAGATATAGTAAACAATTGCCTAGTAATATATCACAAGATACACTGAAATGAAGAAGGCACTGTTCAAAAGTATCACACACCCTCAAATCTGAGATGTCGTAAAAGCAGCATAATGCACTTAAGCAGGGCAAAAACATGAACACACACATTTTATATATATATATATATATATATATATATATATATATATATATATATATAAAAAGAATATCAACATCCCCTGCACTCACGCTTGAAGTATTCCAAATGCCGGGCGCACCACCAAAGCTCCAATAGGTATAACTTCCACAAGAAAAGGCTGCTCTCCGGACTTAAAATCAAAGATTTTATTGAAAATATTTAAAAATGATGACCAACATTTCGGTCCCCGATCGGGACCTTCCTCAGGGTCAGAGACAACAGGACAACAATAAACAGTATACAAAGTGACAATATATACCATTACATTAAGTGAAATGACTCACCCAGGTGTTCTATTCTCATTTCCCGCCGGCACCCAGTGAATTTCCGGGTATGCGCGCGCACGTCAATACGTGCTCCGCCCCTTCATCATACTATGTTACGTGCCGACGTACTCCCGGTCACATAGACCGGTCTCCTTAGCAACCATATATACAAAGACCCCTCTTACAACAAAAGGAGTCTATACCAAGATAGAGAATAGGGAAGAAAAAATTAATGCCATACATAAGTAATATAAGTGCTTATTTTAAAACAAATCTTGTGATGGGCTCATTGTGTATCATATATCCCTAACCACAAGAACACCTAGTGAACCTAGGTAAGTGACACTTCATTAAAGTGATAATAAAGCCACTAAAATTTGACCCATCAGTGTATGAGCCCTAGTTATAGTTAAATGTGAAATTGCACTCATCAGTGAATCAAAAAAAATTCATATATAAAATTTTTAAAGTGATAGCATGCATATAATAAAGTGCATTATAAGTGCTCATAAGCAACATATGTGTAATCAAATATATCATACATATAAAAACACTTTGGCATAATTATAGACACACTGCTCCTGAGAAATTCATTAAACATAAAAATATTTAAAAACAATAGTAACAAGCTGGTTAAACCTATATAAAAGAATGATACGTGATGCTCTCATTAAGACCCATGGGAGATATTGTATTTAATTGGTGTATCCAAAAAGCCTCTTTCTGAAGCAACATCTTCCCCCTATTACCCCCCTGCGGGGAAGGGGTATATGATCAATACCCACAAATTTAAGGGATGCTAAGGGATGTTTTTTATCAAGAAAGTGCCGAGCAACTGGCTTATCAGACTGGCCATCCCTGTACGCTAATCTTATACTCGAGCGGTGGCCCCTAATCCTCTCACACAGAGGTGTTTCTGTCTTTCCTACGTAATAGAGGCCACACGGACACACCAATTTATATACAACAAAGGGGGTTTTACAAGTAATAGTGTGTCTTATATCATATATTTTATTAGTATGTGGGTGATTAAATTTCTTTGCTGGAATCATATGTCCACAAGTAATACACCCCAGACATCGTATGCTTCCCCGTATGTTGTGCTTGACTGTTTTAGAATAACTTTCCACAGGGTCTGTACGTACTAACATGTCCTTAAGACTCTTATTTCTCCTGTAGCAAATTAACGGAGTCTCTTTAAAAATCTTTGGCAGGGTGTCATCCGTAGCAATCATTTTCCAATTGTCTTTAACAATTGTTGAAATCAAATTAGAAGAATTATGAAACGTCATCGGAAATACAATTTTCTGTACAGGATCCATCTTTTGCACCGGGGCCAATTTTGCCTTCAACAGTGCTTCTTCTAGTACCTGAATGTTATAACCTCTGTTCAAAAACTTCTGGGTCATGATTTTCAATTGTAACTCAGCCTTATTTATATCAGAATTGTTGCGAATGACTCGCTGGAATTGTGCTTTAGGAATAGATTTTTTCAACGAAATGTGATGTGCACTCCTAGCGTGTAAAAGAGTATTCCGATCAGTCTGTTTCGAAAATAATGTGTATTGGACTCTATTGTCTCCATAGGAAAGTTCTAAGTCCAGGTATTGGACACTTTCCTCACTGATATTGGCTGTAAACTTGATAGGAGTTGGCAACAAATTTAACTCCTCCACCATCATATGTGCCTCCGTTTGTGAGCCTCGCCAGATGATCAACAGGTCGTCTATATAACGATAATATCCAATAATGTTATTCTTATATGTGGTCAATATATGCTGTGTTTCATATGCATACATGTACGCATTGGCATACATAGGGGCCATGGCTGACCCCATAGATGTTCCCGCCACTTGTAAGTACCACCGATCCTCAAATCTAAAATGATTGTTATGAAGGATCAACGACAAAAGCTCCAGAATAAATTCTATCGGTGGACCATGGTACATCGAAGACTCACATAACACCTGTCGCATCGCCTCAATACCTCCAATATGAGGGATGACTGTGTACAGGCTCTTGACATCCATAGTAATGAATATTGGAACCCTTCCATGGAACTCCAAGGACTTAATTCTACTCAAGAGCATTTGTGTATCCTTAATACATGTACTCAGTGCCTCAACTGGTCCTTTAAAAACAAAATCTAACCATTGTGCTATGGGTTCTAAAATCCCCCCAATAGCTGAAACAATGGGACGGCCAGGAGGTCTTTCTGGATCTTTATGAATCTTGGGTATACTATAGATAATTGGAGTGCGGGGATGTTGTTTATTCAAAAACTGAAATAGATCAAGACTGATATAACCAGCCCTAAGTCCCATCTCTAATACATCACTGATTTTCCTCTGAATTTCGAGTGTAGGATCCCTTGGTAACATACAATAGGTGTTCAAATCCTGTAATTGTTGTTTAAGGTCATCTGCATAATCAGTATAGTTCATAAGTACGATACCTCCTCCCTTATCCGCTGAGCGGATCACTATAGAAGGGTCCTTAGCTAGGTTATCAATCAATTGTCGTTCTTTCTTAGTTATATTTTGTGATCTTTCACGTTGCTGGACACCAGTATTCTGTGTCATCTTGGACATTGTTGTCAAAAAAGTTTTAATTGAAGATTTGGTAGTTTGTGGGTCAAATGTAGATTTATTCTTAAATTTCTCTAACCCCATACAAGTTGATTGTGGTTTGTCTTTATCCATAGTGTGAAAAAACTCTTTAAGCCTCATATTTCTTCCAAATTGAAACAACTCAGTACTCCATTTAAAGGGGTTAATAAAACTTGTAGGGACATATGATAGACCCTTACTAAGAATGTTAACTTCTGTTTCACTGAGTTGTCTATGGGAAAGGTTAAAGATGGGGGTTATTTCCGTTGAGGGGGTTTGCCCCTTAATACTGTTTTTACCCTTGCGCCCTCTCCTATTCCTATATCTTCGTCGCTCCTGACTTTGCTCCTGGTGACTGTGCCTTGTTCCGTATGACCTAAAAAAGTTGCTGTATCATTGGGGATTTCATTCTCTGAAGCTGATTCCCCAGAGGTTATATCAATAGTTGTAACCTTTGGTCGGATAATTCTTTTGCGGAACCTCCTTGGTCTGGGAGGGCGTTCACCCGATAACCATCTATATACACGGTGGTCTTGGTAATCTTGTTGAACCCTCTCATACTTCTGTTTTTTAAATCTCACTAATTCATTTTTATATTTCAGAAGTTCCACTTTTAGTTGTTGTTGCAATTTCACTCCATCAGCTGAAGCCAATAGAACTGCTTGTTCAGTCTCCAACGCAATAATTTTCTGTTTAACCTCTGTTAAATCAGTTTTTACATCTTTAATCGTTATAAGCATAAGGTCCAAAGAAGCTTTGTTTAAAACGTGTGTCCAATCCCTACATACAGCTGCTTTAAGTCTTCCAATAGTTGGTATATTTAGTAATCTAAACCCACGTGGAATCATTTTAGCCTTATAATAGTCGGATAGAAATAAACCATGTAAGTCCAAGTCCACACTTTTTTTATGCAATCTTAATAACTTGAAATAGACATCTCTAGACGTAGTTAAATTAGGTAACTCTTGACTGGATTGCTCCCATAGAATGTGAGATGCATCTTCAGGTGTAAATTGCAGTGTTTCTGCATGTTCTACAAAAGCACCAGCTTGTACTAAAAATTCCTCCATATCACAAAACAAGAGGAGATTAGACCAATGAACAGTAATATAATTGTCAAATATTGTAGGAGCTAAAAAATGCTCAATATAATTAACGTGCCAACACAGTTGCACTATATGCAGGTGCACAAAAGGGAGGAGGTAGAGCCCCACACTCCTAGAAATACAAAAAAACTATCAACATCCCCTGCACTCACGCTTGAAGTATTCCAAATGCCGGGCGCACCACCAAAGCTCCAATAGGTATAACTTCCACAAGAAAAGGCTGCTCTCCGGACTTAAAATCAAAGATTTTATTGAAAATATTTAAAAATGATGACCAACGTTTCGGTCCCCGATCGGGACCTTCCTCAGGGTCAGAGACAACAGGACAACAATAAACAGTAATAAGCAATAAACATTTCTCAGGAGCAGTGTGTCTATAATTATGCCAAAGTGTTTTTATATGTATGATATATTTGATTACACATATGTTGCTTATGAGCACTTATAATGCACTTTATTATATGCATGCTATCACTTTAAAAATTTTATATATGAATTTTTTTTGATTCACTGATGAGTGCAATTTCACATTTAACTATAACTAGGGCTCATACACTGATGGGTCAAATTTTAGTGGCTTTATTATCACTTTAATGAAGTGTCACTTACCTAGGTTCACTAGGTGTTCTTGTGGTTAGGGATATATGATACACAATGAGCCCATCACAAGATTTGTTTTAAAATAAGCACTTATATTACTTATGTATGGCATTAATTTTTTCTTCCCTATTCTCTATCTTGGTATAGACTCCTTTTGTTGTAAGAGGGGTCTTTGTATATATGGTTGCTAAGGAGACCGGTCTATGTGACCGGGAGTACGTCGGCACGTAACATAGTATGATGAAGGGGCGGAGCACGTATTGACGTGCGCGCGCATACCCGGAAATTCACTGGGTGCCGGCGGGAAATGAGAATAGAACACCTGGGTGAGTCATTTCACTTAATGTAATGGTATATATTGTCACTTTGTATACTGTTTATTGTTGTCCTGTTGTCTCTGACCCTGAGGAAGGTCCCGATCGGGGACCGAAACGTTGGTCATCATTTTTAAATATTTTCAATAAAATCTTTGATTTTAAGTCCGGAGAGCAGCCTTTTCTTGTGGAAGTTATATATATATATATATATATATATATATATATATATATATATATATATATATATATATATATATATATAGTTATTTCAGGTCGAATAAATTTTTTTTCCATTTTAATTACCAAGTTGGGTAATTGCCAAAGCGGACAACCATTCCAACATCCAGTAACGGATCTGCACAGTCAGGCTTCATTTGTCTCCCTTCTAAGTCCATACTTCCACTTCACTGTCCATATAGGTGGCTTATTAACTTTGGTTTTGACCATAAAGAGCTTAAAAATGATCTTTAAATAAGCTTAATTATCACTACAAAAAAAAATATTTTTTTTTAGATTTGTAACTCTGTTTATTAAAACATTCATTGTTAAAAATAAATAAATAAACTTGACTGTTTGAAAGAGAAACCAAATAAAGATTTTTTTTTTAGAAAAGAAATCTCAGATGTTAGTACAGGCATTATTATTAATTATTATTATTACAGGACTTGCATTTCACAAAAAAAAAAATAAAAAAAATAAAACAGTTCCTACATTTTACAGATTATAAAATATCCTGTTTTATAGGATTAGCAAACCTGTCAAAGGTAGAAATTTTTTCTCTCCCTGCCCTCTGTATACAGGTAATTAGAACCTATGGGCTTGCTTACTCCTGGACAGGTAGCACGACTTTTTTATATTTATATTAATTAAAATCCTCTCCTCAAAACACACCCATTTTAAAAAGGCTTGATAAAAAAAACAAAAAAACAAAAAGGTACGAATGGTAAAACCACCCCCACAAAAAATAAAGGTTGATGGTCTCTTCAGTTTTTCCATTCTTTGGGGGTTCCATGGCTTCAAAACATCCAGAACGTTACATCTCTAGAGAAGAAGGCCATATTGACGCTTTACAAATCTGTTACTCTGAAGCTTCAGAGGCCCAGGAGTAAGTCTTGTGGAGCTCTGATGAAATTAAAAATTATTTCACAAATCCAGTGGGCTAATTAGGATTTAGAAGCTTGTTTCCCTTTGGAAGTATCTTGGTAAAGTACAAACAGATTTGTGAAAGGCTTAGCCCTGGACAAATAACACATGTAGCCTTTTAGCGTCATCAGAAGGACTTTTATTATTCTACAGTAATACCTGGAAAGCTGGCAACAAATTGTCCAAGTTCAAAGTGGCAGAACTGATTATTTTAGGTCTGAACAAAGGAAAAAAAAAACAAAAAAAAACCTTGTCTGGGTAGAAATGTAGTTACAAATCTTGTGATGCAAAAGCCTAATAAAGCCAGATAGAAGTTTAGGTCCAAAGGATGCACAACAGAACAAATGGATGGTCTGATGTTTAGAAAAATTTCTAACAAACTCTGCAATAAGTTGCTTAGAAGTCGGGATCGACTAATATTCTTCCAGAGCCGATGCCTTTAACGTCTTCTTTCGAGCCGATAACTGGTGCCGATATTCTGTACATTTAAAGTTTGGAAAAAGTAAAAGAATTTCCATTTAAATCTGGCATTTACTGAACATGCGGACAGCAATCACACTCTGATCACTTCCAGGCAGTCAGTACATGTTGGGATCACTGAGAATCCAGCATGTACAATGTTACTGATAAGAGTGTGATTGCCGATAGCTCTCATCTCTGTCAGCCAGCCCAGAACATTAAAGAAGAAGATTATTTACCGTCTCACCTCCCTGCTTTTAACGGAGCTCTAGGCATTTCATTGTGTGGCGGTTAGAGTTCACAGATGCATAAGTCAGCGTGCGGTGGCTGGGAGAGGCGAGTAAGTTATCGGTAAATTATAAGGCCGATACAGATACACTGCTGAATATGGGCTCTAATAAAATTGGTGCTCACAAGCCAAATTCCTAGTGTAAAATGAACTGACGGCTGAAGTTTGCAGCCTTAAATTAGTGAATCTGAAGAAAGATCAAATTTTACTTGCCATAAAGTGATTTTTTCCTTAGGATTAGAGACAGTGCACAACAATAGAGAGATCCACCATGTCTTCACAAGAAAGGCAGGCAGGCACCATAGAATTTAAAAAGTTAAGTCCCTCCTAAAACTCCTCCTACTGTTTGGAGAAAGTTTGAATGGGTGACCAGGTAGCTGCTTTGTAAATCTGAGAAGGAGCAGCTGAAGCCTTAAATGTTTAGGGGGTAGCAATAACCCTTGTGGAATTAGCTTTTAATTGAAAATTAATTCGAATTTAGTTTAAAGAGGAGGAACAACACTGGATGACCTGTATGCAAGAACAATAGCTTCTTTAATCCATCTAGCCAATGAACACTTTGATGCCATGAGACCTTTCTTATGACCACGATAAAGCACAAAACAACCTATTGGAACAATGAAAATTACACTTTTTTTTTTTTAAATATACTTTTAGAGTGTGAGTGACATTGATGCAATGGAATTTGTTTTTCCAAGTTCATTTTGCTGATGTAACAGCCACCAGAAAAATCTTTCCAGTTAAGGAATGCCTTCCATTTGTGAAATTAGACACTCCAGGGTATCCCATATGGTGTATAGTGTGCTTTAATTTGCTGCCATTCTACCACCAGTTTATGTCAAAGTTTGTTGTAAAAGATTTTTTGCATTTTGAAGACATTAAATTTATGCTGGGCATTTTGCAAATAGGATATGTTCCACGAAGATCTAAACCTCCAAATTATGCTCATCAAACTCTTTTGAATAAAACAATACCCCAGTGTATGCCTTGTTACAGTGCAATATAAGAGAACAGACTATTTCAGTTTTTACCTTCAGGATTTGTTTTATTACATGCCTACCTGTACCTTAGCTGAATGACATGACAGATATTTACCTTTTTGCCCTTTCCAAGTCATCATTGGCTTGCTCCAGTTCACGAATGTATTTCTGCAGCTGTTCGAGAACAGACTTTGTTTGAGAGAGTTCTGTTTCCAAAGTTGAAATCTGCATGTAGTTTTCAGAATGATGCTCTTCATACTTTTCCTGTCCAGAAAGGGAAACAAAGTTTGCCTTGAGATATCTGTATTATTTCAGACCGCATATTATTTTTTTTTTTGTTCATTAAAATCTGACTGCTAATTTACAATATTCTGAGGGGGAAAAAAAATCAATTGGAAAAAAGAAAATATCAGTTTTCTCAAGTTAGATCTTTGCTCAGCACACACATTGTCAAAAGAGGAAAAGTACAAGGTACACATTCATAAACCAAGGTGATTTGTTAGGAGAAAAGCAACATTTGAACATTTTTCCTATTTCTTATATGATAAATGTAAGGACTCTCTTTTGGCTCGCCTGTTATTTCAGACAGTGTGAAGTCATGACTCCAGCTACTGGAGTATGTATTGCTTAAAACACACGATTGTTAAAGCTATTTGAATATGAAGAAGCCACTGGGCTAATTACCACAAAGACACCAAGCTCCAGCATTATACACAAGTCAATGCCGATTTATTAGCATGAACAACATCAACATGAGGAACTGCACCACAGGAGGAGCTAAAGCCCAATGATTTCAGACCCAGAGGTCCTTACTTTAGGACTATGTCATACCAGGCCGGCAGCAGTAACTTGGTATCCATCGGCCCATTTTGGTTCTTGTTAATAGGTTCTTCTGGTTTTTTTTTTCCCCCTACAGTTAAACTGACCCAAGGAATGTTTTGTGGAAGAGGGATATGTTACACAGCTGGATCGGCCATTTTGGCTCCCAGTTCTATGTATTAGAAGATATGGACAATAGAGTACGATGTTGGATAAAATACAGTAATATAACATGCTAGTCCCTTAAAGTGACTGTCAACATGCCCCAACATAAGGTATTAGGCATTTTATAAAAGCTTTATGACATACTATTGACGGTGTTGGAATTTGACAGAAGTGAAGGAATTTTAGACAGAAAATTACAAAAGTAATAGAACACAAGTGTGGCGAAACCAACCTCGCCACTGAACTGGAGAAGCCTGGTTGCTCACCTGCTCCCTTTGGACTATGGCCCTGCAGGTTAAACTGTTTATTTCCCCTGCAGAAAGGCTTATTTGTGTGATCTGAGGGCCATTCATCTAATAATGTGCACTCAGATCCCAGCTATCTGGGGATATGTGAAATGTCTGTGTGTTATGTGTAAATGTGACTTTATGTATTTTAAAGTGTTTTGTGTCTTTTGCAACCATGTGCTTAATGGAGTCTTGTGTCTGTCCTGGGAGATAATTGAATTACTTATCTCCAGGATAGAAGACTCTGAAACTGGTTTGGGCCAGAAAGCCATGCTTCATTTAGTCACAAAGGACTTTTTACTAACTTTTGAACCCCTTGTCTGATTTGTGCCATTTTTGAATATGTTGTTCCCCTGAATGGATTGATTGTGAATATGTAATTTTATGTGAATGTGATGTATGGTTTTGGAGTTATGAAAGTTGGGTAGAAAGTATGTTTTAACTGTATGTATAATTGAGTTTCCTCTCAGGATAAGGGGAGGGAATATGTGGGATGTAACTGTGATGTGATTGGTTGTTTTGTAACGCCCTGTGGGCTGTACTATGTTTGTGGATTGGGAATAAAAGAGACTGTATGTGACAGTACAGGGAGTTCCTGTTTAACCCTCAAAGTGAAGTGTCGTCTCATTATTGGGGGAAGGATTTATTGTATGCTGTTCCAGTTTGACTGCTAGGAGAGTAAACCTATTCGTATGGTTCCTATTCAACTGTCTACAGCATTCATATGCTTGAGAGGATTCATATGCTTCTCCGGTTCGGTGGTTGTGGTGTCTGCTGCAGTGCTTGGAGTCCTCAGGAAGCGCTAGGAGCATCCTTTAACGGAGGTACCCAGTCGGGGTGCCAGGTGATCCGTTACAACAAGTGGGGACTATTTTGTCTTATGCATTCTTCCTACACTTCAAAAAACTTGGCTGTGAGGAAAAAGGCATTGTTTGTAGAGGCTACCAGAGTGTCCAAGGATCTGTGCTGTACGCTCACACATGCGATCCTCCTTAACCAACAGTGATGGCTATGGAGGGTTGGATGTGTTAAGAGTACAGCACTGACGTGGGCTCCTGGCAGATGAGAATTCCCTGGATGGAGGCGGCAGCTACCGCGAGAGACAGCATCAAGTAAATAAAACCTACCTTCCACTGCACACTCGGGCCACCGTACAGCAAGCAGTGACGTTATCATCCGGGGTCTTTGCAAAAAAATATTCAAAGACCATAGAACTGATACACATAAATTAGCATGTTGTGATTTTGTGAACTTAAGCTGTTGGCTATGGAAAAGGTGGTGTAAAATAAGCAGAAGTTACTTCTTCTAAAAATAGTTTTGAAACAGGAACGACTATTGCAAAATTTACATGCATCTAAAAACAAACAAGTGAAGAGAAAACATGCAATGTTCTATCCAATATTGGACTCTATAAGAAAATAAAAATTTAATACAAATAAATTAATTGTTAGATTTTAGTTTTATATCACTGATGCTTTTGAATTACAAAAGAAAGAAATACACAGCACCACATTTATATTTGTGAGTAAACAGCTAAAGTGGTTATTTTACAATACAAATAAATCCCGCAAAATTCAAAGTTGTGCAAACGTCGCGCATTAAATGTCAGAAGGATGACAGCTTTGGGTAAATACATTTAACAGGCTCAAGGTTTTAAGTTCTCACTAATGGGGATTATAATAAGGCCAAGAAGAGTCTAGCACAGCTATGTCATGCCATTGTTCACCGACAGCTGCTACTGACAGCCAGCTGGTGTGATCATGAATTGATCCACAGTCTAACAATTTGCATAATTGTACAGATGTAAAAACAGGAGTTAATCTTAAAGATATAGCACACAAGAAAAAGTATATATTTTTTATATTGGGTTTTATGTGCACCGTAAAACAATTTGTAAATGGCAGAATGAAGAGTTGCAAATGTGTCTCATTTGGTTCCCACATGGACATTTTTAGTCATATTGTACAAGCCCAGATTAGGGACATAACAATATAATTTTTCTAGAGCAGATGCCGATACGAATTATTGGTCACCTTTCAGGCAGATTGCCGATATTCTGCACATTGAAAGTTTTGAAAAAAGTTAAAATCTTTAGACAAATCTGGCACTGACTGAACATGCCGACAGCAATTACACTCCAATCACCGTCAGCCAGCCCAGTACATTACAGTGGAGGATTCATTGTCTCACCTGCCTGCCTTCAGCTGAGCTCCCCATGCGGGAACTCACTGAAAGAGGCTAAATAAGGTCAAAACATGGCACATCACTGGCTGGAGACTAGAGTTTCCAGATGCTGAAGACAGCATGTGGTGAATGGGAGAGGTAAGCAAGTTATCAGTAATATTGGTAAATTACAATGCTGATAATCGGTCTATTCCTAGCCGTAGCAAAATATGTGGTCAGACAAATCATGTTTTATAGTTCTAGACATTGTTCATTTATACCTCAAATATATCTCAAAAACAAAAAAAACAAAAATTCTGTCAAATTTGGAAAAGGGGATTACAGAAAGTAAATCGTAACAGGGCAAGGGTGTGGGGACTGTGTATACTGCCCCCACCCCAGCTCAAAAATAAAATAACCACACTATTTAGGCCACCAACCTCCCTTAAAATAAAAAAATATATATATTATTTCAGCATTGCGCGGGTCCCCAGCCCAGCCTCTTTGGCTGAGATCATCAGAATTGATGAGCTCAGTTAATCCAATGCTTTCCCATAGCCATCGGATTGGCTGACATTGCCAATTCTGATGATCTCAGGTAAGGAGACAGAGCCTGGTGGTGAGCCATATGCCGCTCTGGCCAATCAGCATCTCCTCATAGATATGCATTGAATTAATGTATCTCCATGAGGAATATTCAGCATCTCCATGAGGAGTGTGGAAACACTGAACGTCAGTGCTACACAAGCCAGGAAGCACCTTGAGTGTCTTAGTGACTGCCACTGGAGGTGTGCTTAGGTGCCTTTTCTCTTAAAAGACAGTATTTACAGCAAAAATACCCGCAGGGACGGTCTACAGACACCAAAACAACTACATTAAGCTTAGTTGTTCTGACATCATACAACCAAATTTACAGTAACAAATGTACAAAGACAAAAAAAAAAAAAACATAATTCCTGGAAACAAATGTGAATATATTGCCATTGATAGTTTGGATTAACAAAAAAAAAAAAAACCCATACACATTTAATAAACTAGGATGTAAAATTAGACATAAAAATATCACAAGACCCCTGATGCGCTGGTACCATACTCCGCTAAAACATAAGCAAATGGGACTATCCACCTCAGATAGATGCTGGAAGGGGTGCGGCCAAAAGGGAACGTACTACCACATGTGGTGGGAATGCCCCCACATTGCACAAATCTGGACCGACATAGCGGCCCTGGCCTCCAGAGTCCTTCATGACACCATCCCAAGAGACCCGTGGTTATGGTTGCTATCCAAACCGCTGGTCGGTACACCACGGGCTCATAACAAACTACTAGCCAAACTAGCCTTGGCAACAAGGAGAGCCATAGCCTCCCATTGGGGCTCACCCACAGTCCCGTCACTCACTGACATAAAGAAAAGAATTAACGAAGCCAGGGCAATGGACAGTTTATCTGCACTCATTCATGACACCACAATGCATTGTGACAAAATATGGGATCTGTGGCTCATGGAACCCACCACAGCCACATAAGACACCCAAAAACAAAAAAGGGGCAACCAACCACGACAGGAATCACGCATAAACACACAATCCATAAGGGCCAAAACGTCAGTGTCCGAGACAGGTCCACAATGTAATACGCAACTCCGAAAAACCACACAACCCACAAATCAGGGACACCTTCTCACCCCCACCCAACCCCCCCACAACCCCAGCAGAAACCCCACATCGTGGATTCCCCATTCCACACTCCATCCCGGAACTGAACTTAACCCACTCTCGCCCCTTAACTTGCAGTTCCGAATCCACGTACCATACCAAAGAAACTCAATCTTAGGTTCAAACTTGTTAATATTTGTTTGGTTATGTTTTGAATTGTTTAAATGTATGGAAAATCGACAGAACAGAATCGTATGAGAAAATAATGTTGCGTTAGCAGTACACTACTCTACTGGTATATACCTCTCTGTATCACAATGCATTACTACACTGTTTATCTTTTGGCTTTTGCACAAGCCCACACATTACCTTCTGTCCAACATCTGTACACTTACTATCTCTGTCAACCGGAAAATAAAGAATTAAAAAAAAAAAAAAATATCACAAGACTTTAATAAATCCCTCCAAAGTAACTTGCTTACCTTAATGGACTCTAGCTCCATTCGCAATCGGTTATTTTCGGAGATGATGTCTCTGTTTCTGCCTTCTGTTTGTTGAAGCTGGGCTTCTAACTCCGCTTCATATTCACGACTGGCCTCCTGAAATTCTTGCAGCTCTTCCTGTGCATCCTCAGAGCTAGGAAACGGAAAAAAAAAAAAAAAAAAGTGTAAAAATTTAAAAATTACAGGTATAACCTCTGCATGCATTATTTCGTAACATATACATATCAGTACAGATCGCTTTAAAGTGCATTTTTTTTCAATTTGTATTTTATTAGAGTTTAAATACTCAAAAAAACAGCATTGCCACAGTATGCAATTAAGAACAATGTGACATCAACATTAAACAACTTTAAGAAGCTGCCAAAATGGCTGTGTCAGATAGTTGTGTATAAAGACTATGTGCAAACGGCAGTAGAAACAATCTACAGGAACTGTTCATATATGTGCAGCAACATTGTTGAATCAGGAAGGTCAGCTGTTGTAGTGAGCTTGACGTCTGCGGGAGACCCAGAGAGAGTGTGGCACATTGTGGCATAGCCCAAGAGTGTCTCTTTGGCAAAGTTGGCACATGTAAGCCTTTCTCCGGTAATTGGGTGCTTTTGGGCTGACGCTGTATGTGATTGCTTTCATCCCTGGATTCCCCTGTGTCTATCTTGCAGGTTCAGCTGCCAGAGAGAGAGAAAAAAAAATATAATAAAAAAAAATAATAATACACTTTTGGTCATCTGTGGAGGACAAGATAAGTGTCTGGTCTTCCTGTGGTACCGCCAGGGATCCATTCGCACCCCACCGGTATCTGATTCCAACGTCCCTCAGTCGTTTGGCTATTTGTGTCAGCTGTCGCTGTTCCACAAGTGCTGCGAGCAGGAGATCCCCATAGAGGGCCACTGTGCTACCCTCCATTTGCACTGTGCCAGAGTCTCTGGAGCGGGACATGATAGCGGAGCGGGTTGCCACATCTTTTGTGATAGATGTAGTGTCTCTGGGTGCGTCCTCGGGAGCTGTTGCAGCTTTACGGATTCTGAACGCGGAAAGTATCATGCTTGGCTCAGCTTCCCCTTTGATGCCCATTACGGATAATAGGCGGTGGATGTAGGGAAGCAGGGCCTCCCCTCCAATACTTTATGGTATCCCTCGGAGGCGGACATTCCGCCGTCTGTGCCATGCTTCCATTGTTGTGACAGTCCGTGTGAGCTTTTGTACTTGGCAAGGTAAGAGCCTGCATAGAGTCTTGGGAGTGCTGTAGTTGGTGCTCCCTTGCACCTTACCTCGTCTACACTGCTGTTAGCCGCTGTTGGAAGTTCCCCACTTCTTTCTGAGTGCTCAGTAGGTCAGCCTTCCACACTTCCCCCATTTCTGCCGAGAGGTTTTGAATATCCAGCTTAGTCACTGGGGAAGAGTCCTCCCCCGATTCGGAGACCTGGTAACGGGTCTCTGTGTCTGCTGGAGACTAGGTAAGACTCTCCCCCATCCCCATGGGAGTCCTTTTCTTCACTGGGTGCCTCGGGCACCATTCTGACAGGAGCCGGTGGATTAGGCCTCACAAACTAGAGCAGAATAACTGACATTCTGGGTGTCTCTGGGAGAGGGAAATTTTTTAATTTTGGGCCCCATTGACGTCTGTGTGTGGCCGCTGTTGGGCACAGTTTGTCGGGTTTTTAGTCTATTTTATCGGTCGCTTGTACGGAGCTCCTCAGAAACGTGTCTGCCTGTGATTGAAAACAGTTTAACACAAAAAAATAAATAAAAAAACACCTGTGCAGTATTCATAAAACTAGGAATGCTGGAAAAGCGCATTGGGTATGACTGACAGATTTACACATGTGCAGTTGGAAGATCCTTTCACCATGGAATATCCTGATGGGGAGAAGAGATCATGCAGAGCATGCTCTGATGTTGGGTTTTTCTCTCCTACTGCTGCACAGTGATCCCTCCTTGTCATTAGTGGTCTGGTCTGAAACAAATAGGTTTGTAAGAAGGGCGGGGGAGGCTGAAGAAACACCCCTAACTGAGAAGGCATGCCCAAATATGCCATTCTGATCAAGTTTATACATAAATATATATATTTTAATATACTTTTACCAATTTTCTTGCTTTATTTTGGGTTTTATATTGGTTGTAAAAGTGATTGCTGGTTTAAAAAAAAAAAAAAAGTCAGTATTCTTTAAGTTATTTAAAGGGTTTCACCGCCACTAAAGGCCGCTGTAATGGTTATGATGCCAGGGGTTACCCTGACAAAGTCAGCCTGTAATGAGGCAAACGTTTATAGCACGTGTGCTCCCTGCTGGGTTCCGATGCTCTGCGGTGTTCAGTGGTGTGCTTCTGGCTTCAGCTGAGCTGCAGGAGCTGGGGCAGTCGACATTCATTGGCTATGGGTGTCAGCTGACTGCTCTCAGCCAATGACTGTCTTATGTCTGACATTAGCAAGTCCGGAACTTTAGTTCTATGCAGGCTGATGACACCATTATGATGCTGCCGGAGGTAAAGTTACACATACGGCAGCAGGGAGGCGAATGTGCTACATTGTAAGGTGAAACTCTGCACAGACAGACTCCAGGCACCACGACAACTTCAAATCACTGAAGAGGTCATGGTCCTTGGAGTAACCTCGGACACTATAGGTTCCAAAACAACTTTTAGCTTAATGAAGCTGTTTTGGTGTATAAATCATTCCCCTGCAGTCTCACTGCTCAATTCTTTGCCATTTTAGAAGTTAAATTACTTTTCCATAGTCACACTTCACTGCATGTGACTTGTAAAGCCTTTGTAAACATGTCCTGAAAAGGAACCTGGATATTTTTTCATTTTTTTTCTTATATATGGTATCAAACACGTAATACACATAAAATCATAGCTTTCACATATTTTGTAAATACTGGTAGACTTACATTGGTAAACTTGATATCGCTTAAACTGAGGCAAATATAAACAACCTGGTTTTAAAGGTCAATCAAAACATGGGTATTCTCCCTATTTTGGTTGCCCCTTGCCCAATGCACCTCCATCCACTCTTCAGAATATCCATACACACATTCACATGGCAAGGGACATAATATACCTCTAAAGAGGAACCTGGATATTTTAAGTTCATTTATTGCACTGACTGTTTAATCAATAACTTCTTATCTTCTGCACCTTAGTCTTCTAGAAACAGCAGGAGGCTCCACTATGTGTTTAGAGTGCAATTCACAAAAGCAGCAGATAAAACTTCTAAAGCAAGTTAACATCTGATTGAAAAATCAAACCAATTTTCCCTGCAAGCTGTGCTAGTCACAGTCATGGCAGGTGTGGCTAGGGCTAAATAGACTGAACAGTGAGACTGCAGAGGCAGAATTTTTACATCTAAACTGCTTCATTAAGCTAAAGTTGTTTTGATGCCTATAGTATACCTTTAAGTATTTATTACACTATATACACACACACACACACACACACACACACACACACACACACGATGCAATTAAACAACACTTTTCAGTAAAAATAAAATAAATTTTACTTAAAGGAAGTGTTGATGCTTGGTGTTTAGTGTGTCCCTTTAAATCAAAAAGCTTTACACGTTACACAGAGAGAACTCTTAATTCAAAAGATAACTTACCATTTCCTGTATTTCATAGCCAGACTTTTCCAGTATTGTCTTTCTTCATCCGCACACGTGAAATTGGTTCTTTCTAAGTCATCCATGATGTTAATTCCATTAGAGCTTTGATGTTCATGGACCAGAAACTGCAGAAAGACAGGTTTGATAAACATTGCTCTAGTCAAATAATTTTGGTCTTGAATGAAATACTGAAATACCTTCATCCAAAGAAATAACCAAAACAGTTATTCATTATTTATTAAAGGAGCACTCTAATGTAAGAAATACAGTTTCTAACGTTCTATGTACTTCTGGGATGGCTAGATTCAAAAGCCCCACGGAAATATTAAAATGGTGATAATACTTTCTTTGACCATTAGAAGGCCCATACAGAAATGCCTTTATGAAAATGGTGTGAAAGAACATGCTTGACCCGCATGGAGAACGGATTTTACCCCCATAAACCCACTTTGGGATAAAATGGAATGGTGAATGCTAATCCCCATCATCGAAGAGCTGAAATCAGTGCCATTAAATGAACATTAACACCATAACCACTATATTGTGCTGTAGTGGTTATGGTGCCAGAGGTGAGCTGGCACCTTCCCTTCCATTGTGAGTAGTCATTTAGGAATAGTTTGACTTCCTACCTTGGGGTTGTTGGGCACCCCTCCACTACAGCTGGTGCAGGGCTTCGCTCACTGGCTCTTCTTGCCGCAAAAAAGGAGGAGGGATGCGTTGCATGCCAGACCCCAGTGAATTAGTCAAACGGTCTTAAAAACAGTTTGACGTCATACAACGGAGGAGCGCCAATGCACTCCTGGTACCACAAGCAGGGCATTGCACTGATATTTGGAGTGTGCCTTTAATTCAAATATCAGAGAGGAATGTTATTCATTACATCCGGACACAGTAAATAAGTAGTAGTTATTCAACAGTATTAGTGCAAACACATTTGTGTACACACGTCTGGCCTTTGTAGCTAGCTCTGCAAGAAGGTTTATGCTCTGTATATTACCACACATAAGCTATTATGTTTGCAACTATGCAGATCAGCTCTGCCAAACACTTCTGCCATACACAATGTGTTGACGTATCCAGGTTGTACGGAAGACAAAAATCTTACCCCCTGCATAGTACATTTACACAATAATAGATGTCAAAGAGATCAGCTAGAGCGAAAACATCTTTTACGACTTTAGGCTTGGCAAAGTATTGAGTGTCAATAGGATTACAGACTAATCTTAGAATTTCGATCAATTTAATAGATTATACACAAGCACCATACGCAATGCTAAAGTACTCCCCACACATGCCTTTTATACATTTAATGCCAATATAAAAACTAAAAGGAATAAAAAGTAAATAAATGGGAAAAACGAAATCCTACCGATTATAATGCTACTATAAAAAGAGTGCTAAATTCCTATTCCACGTGATAAAAAAGTGAATGTTAATTTGGAAGAATCATGCGTTCACAAGCAACAGAAAACATTACTGTGTATATCTGTCAACATTCTAAATTAGAACACAGAGTTTGCTACAGTATGAAAACCGTTGTACAACATATGGTTTGTAGAAAATACCCTGCAATTAATGTTTAATGCAGAGGATGAGCAGAACACATCTCCCTGATTAAATAGGCCTAATAGAGACATAGATATTTCCCTTTACACACATTATCACTGCATGCTGACATAAAGTGCAGTTCAGTAGTAACCATGCAGCAGTCACAAGATGGTAATTAGATACTGCATAATACCTAGTAACACTTTGCATGCACTCCCCATTAATCCTATTAAAGTTCTATATTATTTATACATACCAACTGAAGGCATCAAAATAAAAAATAATAAAAAAAAAATAAAATAAAAAAATTCACTCTTAGTATTGGGAACCCTTGGTGGGAGGCTAGGGTATACTTTAGTGATGGCTAACCCCTGGAAAACCTGTTGTTGTGTGCTACATTCCCCATAATGCTAGGCAAAGCCAAATGGCTGGCTGAGCATGATAGGAAAAGGAGTTAAAGCCAGAATGGCTATGTCCAACATCCTGTGTGTTCAGGTTTGATTCTGGCTCCTTATTAAACAGTAACTAAAGCCAGCAATGTGATAAACGCCATGCCATGATGGTTGCTATGTACTTACTGACCATCCCTGATCTATAGTCCCTGCACTCTGCATTATCTGGGACCTATTTCCTCTTTATGTGTGCTTCCGCCGTGCGTATCAAGTTCCGGACAGGAGGAATACCTTACCTTCTATTACTGCCCCCCAAACACCTTCCACCGAAAGCCTCCGCCGCGGCTACTGAACGGCCACCATCAACCGACTAACTGCCTCAGCGCTGCCACCACCACCACAGCAGCGACAGTCAAACTTAAACTTCCCAGGCCACCGATTGGCTGGTTTGTTCAATGACGTGATGCACTAACCAACCCCGTAACGCTGGGGGCGTGGCAAGGAAGGCGGAAAACGGTCCAGTTTTTTTTTTCCAACTCAACTTTATTGAAAACCACAGCTACACGCACAATTTGCAATTGTTTTAATCTATCTGTTATGGATAAAGTAACAGCCCCATTGTTATTAGCTCTATGTTTGTGACAAATTAAATCCTGATCACAGAGCTTTATCGTGTTCCCATAGGAAATGTTACTTTTACAGATATAGTGACTGAGTGGGAAACCAAAAGTGATCTATTTGTTGTGATTTTACCCTTCATGCTTGTATGTATTGTAAAGAGACACTCCAGGCATCAAAACAACTTTCTCATTATTAGCATTATGCTATTTGCAACTCCTGTATTTGGGTTTTAGATACACAGCTGTAAGCACAGATGCCCGATATGTACAGAGAGATGTCTGAACATGTACACGCTAGCCATGGGGTGCCCGAAAGGCAGAGCCCTAGATTTTTAAAAACTACAGCTTTCGTGATGCTTTGTCATTCTAAAGACATGCAAATCATCACGGGAGTGTTCTACACTTGTTTTTTTTTTACTTACCTTAACTATGTTATTCACCAGGTAAAGGTCTGGCTTTTTTTTTACCTTGCACTCACATTGGCATTTTTATGCACATTATGCACTTCTTACTCTAATACCCTTTTCTTTATCCTGTCCCTCCTTTTAGTTAGATTTACAGGGAAAGAGACTGGTCAAGTAGAATGTCAGTTATTTATCACCCACAGCCGAGGTTTCTATTTTTCTCTGCGCAACAATCTTTTGCACTCACAAGATATAGATGATAAAAGCGCTCTTAGGGTGCCTCCCCTGGAATAATGGGGGGCTGGTTGGTATTGCTTGTCACCTCTGGATCCTCGTTCCACCAAAAAGACATCCACAGGTCAGGGTTCAGCAATAAAAAATTTATTTAAATAAAAAGTGTAGTCACCATATTCAGCATAGGATACAAATAGCATAAAATAGTCCTACGCGTTTCGTTCAGCAAGAACTTCCTCAGGGACCACAAATAAAAGTAATTATCATGTATCAATACACATAAATAAACATATCCTATACAAACCCCCCCTCCCTGTGTCCTTAAATAGGGCTAATCCCTAGAGTCCATTGGTGGATTCAGTGGGAGTGTAAATCCTTCCTGTTTTTGATTGGAGGAATAATCTCACTAAGCAGCTGTTATTCATTCATTAATTTCATAATGCGCGCTTTTTTTCCGGCTTATACCGGGGATATTCTATTTCGCCGAAACTGGAAGTGACGTCACGGTTGCTTCCGCGTTCCAAATGCGTTCCACACATAACGTTCCCATAGCAACCAAGCGTGATCGAGCTGTTCAAAGATCACCCATAGCCAAGGGAGAATTAACCCATACTCTACTAAGGTAAAGATTATTAGACATATGCACTGCAAAGCAATTAATCATTAATCACTATTCACATCTAATATATATAAAGTAGCATCCTCCTATAGTGTTATCATTAGAATTTAATAATAATAAAAATAACAGTATTAGATCATAATAACATTAATCCTTATTCTACCAATACTAATAATATCTCAAAACATTATAAGTAAAAAGACTTAACCCCTTCCCGACCGAGGACGGTTCAGGACCGTCATCGGGATTTTCCCATTGCGGACCGATGACGGTCCTGAACCGTCCTAACGGTTTCCGTTACTTACCTGATCGCCGTCGTTCCCCCGGCGGCGATCAGCGTTGCTCCGGTTGTGGGGAGACTGCCTGCAGCCCAGACAGTCTCCCCACACTGAATTAGGACCCCTGTGGCCATGTGATCGCTTAACACAGCGATCACATGGTCACAATAGGTGTCCATGTGTCTGCCTGCAGGGGGACTGTCTGTGCTGACAGGCAGTCTCCCTGCTAGTGTAAAATCAAAAAATAAAATAAAGTTAATGTTAATAAAAAATAATAATAATTATATATGTGTATATATGATATATAGACATATATTATATCTATATAATATATGTCTATATATCATATATATAATGTCATACTAAGTGTATTTTTATATTAATATGTACTTATATTAATATAAAAATACACTTATAATTAAATTACACACGTATATATATAATATATATAATAACTATATAGATTGTATATATATATTATTATAAAATATAAATAATAAGTAATTTAAATTAAATAAAAAATTTAAAAATAATAATAAAAAATTTAAAAAAAATTATATAGCTATATGAAATTTTATTCTAACTGTATTTTAAAATTAATATATATATATTTATATCAAAATACACTTAGAATGAATTTGTATATATATCTATGTATATAAAATAAATAAAAATAATACGAAATATACATATGTCCATATACAAAATTACATAAATAATTATATAAATATACACGTAGACTTCAAATATATAAATATGCATATATATTTAAATTCTACGTGCGTATTTATGTAATATTTTTACATAATTCAGTAATTTTATTGATTGCAATTTGAGGGACCTGCCTGCCAACCCAGGCCGAAATTCCAGAGAATTTAATTTGCTAGCACTGTATTTTACCCTGTAACGTTCTACGACACCCTAAAACCTGTACATGGGGGGTACTGTTTTACTCGGGAGACTTCGCTGAACACAAATATTAGTGATTCAAAACAGTAAAACATATCACAGCGATGATATTGTCAGTGAAAG